GGCCCCACCTTCCCGGCCTTCTTGGCGTCCATGCCCTCGACAGAGTTGACCACGCCGCGCCCAACCTGCACCACGCCCGCGGCCACACCCGCCAGCGGCAGAGCCACCGCGCCGGCGACGCCTGCGGGGCGGGAGGGAGTGGCGAGATGCTTGGCTGTGTGCGCGAGTGTTTACCGGGAGGGGCACCACAATTGAGGAAGGGGGGCATACGCATCCGCCGCGCATCTGCGATACGAATCACGCGCAGTCTTGCAACTGGTTATGCGTTGATCCAGCAGCCAACCTGATCCTCATGTCCCGAGCTGCCTGGTGGCTTCCTGGGCAGATCCCGCATGGCACCCGCTCAGGACCCCGCCCCCGTGCCCCCCCTGCGCCCTGCACCTGTCGCCAGGCCCTTGGCAAACCCGGCCGCGCCCTCCTGCCGCGCGCCCGCCACCGGCGCCACCACCAGCCCCGCGATGCCCGCCGCGATGCCACTGGCAAAGGCGGCCGCGCCGGTGCTGAGGCCCTGCTTTATGCCCTTGGGGCGCGTCGCGCGCATCGTCTCATGGAACGCCTGGGACATCTCCGCCTGCGCACGCTCGCGCTCCGCCGCTAGCTGCGCAGCGCGCTGCTCCGCCGCGGCGTCGGCGCCCGGCGGCGCGGGCGCGGGCGCGGGCGCGGGCGCCGCGGTTGCATTCGGCGGGGCGCGCGCGCTCGGCGGGCTGGCCATGGGGGGGCCCGTCGATGCGACCTGTGGCATAAGGCGAGGGCGTACGCGCCCAGGCGGTGTCGATCAGCGTTACAGCACTGTGGCAGGCTACTTTGAGAAACAAAGGCCTTGTAGGAGCCTATGCGGTCGATCCATGCGCCACTGGGACACACAGTGTTCCCGGGCGCCTAGCAGAACGCGGGCGACGCGCAGCGGCGAGCGACTTGTGCTGGGGCGGGAGGGCATGGTGTGTGTCCAGCGCGGCGAGGTTCCATTTTACAATGTTGCAGAATCGATTTTAGTCACCTGATGCTGCACAGGCGACCCGCGGGCCAAAGTGGGCTTCTGATCTTGGCGTGAAAGTAATCGCTTCGTAAAATGATTTGAGTGATCACGTGGTGTGCACGCGGTGTGTCTACGGCGGCCGCTGTTACTCGGAAAGGAAGAAAATGCCGAAATGTGTCTCGCTCAGCTCCGATCGCAACCGCTTGCATAGAAGGACCCTGATTGCAATCAGGCTGCAACAGAACGTTTCTCATGGCGCAATGGCTGGGCGTGGACCGCTTTGTCGGCAGGATGCAGCTGCGGGTGGCCCGGCCTGCGTGGATGCCCAATGAGCAACATGGCATCGGCCGGTTGCACACTGCGGCGAGGGTGCACGTACAACCCACCTACTGTAGTTTGAGTTCCAAGATATCAGTCGTACGGCGACTATAAGACGGTATGTCAATTCCTGCATCGAATCCTGAACAACATGCTGCACTGCAAAGGCCAATCACGCGCCCCCCCCCCTGGATGTCGAGACCTGGCTGGGCGGAAACATGGTACTGTTTGGCTCTGTGCACTTTGCATCAAGATGCTAACCATAGTATGCAGCGTGCAGCGCTTGCACGGTCTCACGCTGCAGTAGCACACCCTTCTCGTCCGCACCTTCTCACAGGTGCCGGGTCAACACCTCCGGCATGCAAAACCCTCAAATGACGCGCCGCTTGCCCATAAGCATGGCACAAGTGCCCGCAATGGCCCCGCTGGTCAGGCAGCTGGTGTTGTTTGCAAGCCCACTGCCGGCGCGCACTCACGCCCTCCCCCTCGCTGCTTGAAGGATCCAAATTAATTGCAGTCCTGCACAGGCAGGCAGAGTACTCTAGGCGATTCACACACCATGCAATAGTTTTGTCCGTGCCACTATGCCATGCCAACATGTGCATGCCGGGTGGTGGGACCAGCAGCCAACCGCAGCGTTGCGTTGACCTCTTGACCGTGAGCTGCGGCGGTACTCTTGATCATGTCACTCGAGTGACTGTGCATTGGGCACCGTGTTCTGGATTTTGGCATACGCCAAAAAGTAAAGTTTCTCAAGAATATAGATTATCTGCAGATCGTAGCCTCAAGCGTGAAGCCAACACAATGATCCTGGGCAGCTCGCCTCGGCAACTGTGCGCTTGGGCAAAGCAAAACCATGCCATCGTCATTGCGCGGGCACCTGTCACTCGCAGAAGGCCGGGGAGTGCTGCAACCCTGCTTCGACGCCGCTTTGCGTGCGGTGCGCAGCCCCCTAGCAGCGGTGACGGCAGCGGCGGCGACTCCCAGTACGCCTACAGCGACCCTGTCAACAGGTTCTTAGGTGGGTGTGCGGCGAGCGCCCAGAGTGGGGCACGAACGCTCTGCACACGAGCCATGCGCAAGCACGTCCAATGGCGTCACCGCAAATTTGATGCGAGACAGCGCAGCAGAACGGCAGAGGGTGAGGGCGGGGCGGGGCATGCTCCTACCCCCTGCGCCAGGGCCCGGCCCACAGGTCTTTCGTGCCACAGCAGTACCCTTGAGAAGCGCCCCACCTCGGCAAGCGGTCGCGCCCTCACACAACCCGCGGCCGCGCACCGCAGGCAACTTCCTACCGGCAGCGCGAGACGCCGCGGCGGAGCTCTCGGCTGTCGACTGGGATGCGCCCAAGGCGGAGGGCCTGTCGCTGGCTGAGCTGGCGCGGCGATTCACGACCGAGTTCCTGGAGCGGGAGTGGTTTGTCACCGGCGATGTGAGGGGGCCCAAGTCGTACGGCCCCGGCGCAATCGAGGCTCGCGAGCGGCTGCATGCATCCATGGGGCGGAAGTGGGGGGCAGCACGCAACGGCATTATGGGGGGCAGGTGCGTCGCTGCGCCTATTGTGCAGGCATCGCAGCGGAGGGGCGTTCGCGCCGCACCAGCGTGGCCCCCCCGTCGTGGTTGTGCCAGCGCACCCCGTTGAATCTGCCCTCATCCCCCGGGCACGCATCAAGTCTTGGCATGCACCCTCTGGCCCCGCCCCTGCCGCAGGTGCCAGTAGCGCTGTTTTCTGACGCCTTTGTGTTCAAGGACGACTCGGTGGCCACCAGCGGCATCCGCTCCTACGGCCTGGGTGTGCGCAAGCTGTTTGACCAGTCAAACGCCCGCGCGGAGCTCATAACCGTCACAATCGACGAGGCCGCGCGGGCGATCGTCGCCACCTGGCGCCTAGAGGGCGGCGTGAACCTGCCGCTGCGGCCGCGCATCCCGCCCTTTGTGGTGACGACCACGCTGGGGGTGGATGAGAAGGGGCTCATCGCCAGCCAGCTGGACGAGTTTGCGGTCCCGGGGTGGCGCCTGCTGGCGGGGGCCCTGCTGGGCGCGTGGGCGGGGCCGCCGCCCGCGCCGGCTGCAGCTGTGCTGCGCGCCGAGGCCGCGGCGGCGGGGCACGCGGGCGTGGTCGGCGCGGATGCAAATGCCGAGGCGGCAGCGGCGGCCCCGCGGGGTTGATGCGGACACCCTCCGCCTTCTTGTACAGTCGGCGGGCGCAGGCGCCGAGGCGCGACTGCTGCGACGGCAGCATCGAGTGGCCCCTGAGGCTGGCTCCAATAGCTGCGGCTGCCCCAGTAGCTCCTGCGTCTTTGCCCCACTCGGTGAGCCGCCATACATCTGGCGCCGCAGCCGACACCCTCAAGACGTCGGCCAACCACGTCAGTCAGCCCCTTATTGCTGGCCCCTCCCTTGCGTGCGTGCCACAACCTCGGCTGCGCGCGTGCACAGTGGCCCAGCAGCCCTGCGCTGCGCGTCGCGGCCACTTCTCAGGGAAACCGGCGGCACTCACCGAGCTGGTCACTACATGAATGTGATCATGGCAGCCCCCTTAAGCTGCTGGGTTTCTGCGCCCATCCTGTGCCCGCATGTACTGGTTCAAAGCCTCCACAGTCTTCCACGAATTTTTTTGCAGAACGAATGGAAGAGAACGCCGCTGCATCCCTCAAGGTCTTTGACCCGCTCCCATGCAGCCTCACCTCTCCCCAGCCGCTGCTTTACTGTGCACCCGCAAAGGCGCTGTTGTTGATTCGCGTACCGTCAGGTCACCCTGGCCCCCACAATCTCGTCGCTGCGGCGGCGCTAACCCCGTCGGTCGCGCGACGCATTGCATTACAGCAGCAGCCGTCTTTGCAGCAGCAGCCGTCTGGAGGTCATGCAGCGGCTGCGCGCGTGAACGAAAGAAGGGCCATCGCTGCTCGTGTTGCAACGTCCGCTGCAGTTGAGCCACGTGTCCGCTCAGGGCCTGCCCCGCCTGCCGCCGGCATGAACAGGCTGCAACAACAACCCGTGGCGACGCTCCCTCCGGCAACCCGGGGGCGCGGCAGCTGTAACAATCCCCGGGTCACATGTCGCTCTGCGCCCAGGCGCGCGCCTCTGCGTATCGCGCCGCCTTCTCGTTGCGCTGCTTGAACATGGTGCGCTCAAACCCATTGGAGCGGTCGACGCCGTCCCAGTGGCGGCCGGGCTTGATGCTGTAGCGGTTGAGGGGCGGCGCGACGCCGCGGCGCAGCCAGCTGTGGGGCGGCACGTCCTGCGGCACGTGGAAGCCTGCGGCGGTCGGAAAGGGAAAGGGGGGATGGGGAAAATGAGGTGCGGGGCGTTGTCAGGCAGGCATACGTGGGGGGAGCCGAGGCTATGGGGGGGCGGCGGGGTGTAATGCATTCCCTGAGAGAGGCCATGCGACGCAGACCCCGAGGAAGTGCAGAGTGCGCCGCCGCCTGCTGCCAATCCGCCCCAAATCTGTCGGGACGCGGGGCGGCGGTGTTCTGCTGTGCGTGTGCAGAGATCGCACCCGAGGCCTCGAGCTTCTCCCTGTTTGCGTCGGTCACCACCGGCGGCGGCAGGTCCAGGCC